GTATTTTCAGATTATCTTGTCCTCTTTGAGGAATGCAGTGATATTCTGATGTAGGCGGATAAGAATTATTTTTTCTACTGTTATGAAGCATCACATACCAGGACTGATTGATAAGTTGTGAGTCTTGTACTGAAGAAGTTAAGCTGGGATGTCCTTTTTCAGCTCTTTTATTCCCGGGGTATTTAAGGCTGTAGCACTCTTCAGTAAACAAGGCAAGTGAATTTTCAAAAAAATCTGACAAAATCTATGAAAGAGCAGCGATTCAATATTTGCATAAGAAAGGCCTAGCACCTAAGGACATCCATACGGATATGGTAGCATTACTGGGGAATGATGCCCCTTCATATGCTACAGTAAAAGGTGGGTGGCGGAATTTAAGCATGGCAGGCAGAGCCTTGGGGATGACGCCCGTCTTGGAAGGCTTGACACTATTGCAGAAATGACCAATAAAGTCCATGATATGGTTATGGCTGACAGGCGACTTATAGAGATATATATAGCCAGTACAGTTGGGATTACACAGGAAAGAGTACATTCTATTCTTACGGAAGATCTTGCAATGAGAAAGCATACTGATGTATTCTAAACGAATATTGATGTTTGTACCATAGTGCCATTTGATTAGAATATTTCACACCTTTCGATAATCGACGTACCGATCTGTAGATCTGTGTTTACAAAGGTTGATAGTAATATAATATTAAACCTGTGTTCTCTGCTATATATTCCCTTGTATATACTTATATGGGGTGGTTACTACAATTACAGATATAGCTGTGTTCTCTGCTATATATTCCCCTGTGTATGATTACATACACTGCTATTACAAATATAGCTGTGTTCTCTGCTATATATTCCCCGGTGTATGATTACATGTGGTGGCTAGTACTATTACAAATATAGCTGTGTTATCTGCTATATATTCCCCGGTGTATGATTACATGGGGTGGCTAGTACTTTTACAAATATAGCTGTGTTCTCTGCTATATATTTCCCTGTATATACTTATATGGGGTGGCTAGTACTATTGCAAATATAGCTGTGCTCTCTGCTATATATTCCTCGGCGTCATTTCTGTGGGATTGTAGGATAATCAATCGTTTCCTAGACAATGATATTTAAACATCACATAAAAATGCCGTTTTGATATGGAACTAGAGGTATAGACATTCGAATCGTGTGTGCTGTAAGGTTCTACATTTAGTGAGGGCTAGGACAATTCTCAAGAGGAAGAAGAAACCATTGGCACGCGCTACTCACAATTTGGGTATATTTATTCAGGATCGAGTAGGATGATGTTGGTTGAGGTGATTGTACTTTCGGGAATTCCAATGTTTTGTCGGATCATGTGTTATTAGGCTGCATCATACTGGTATTTTCAGTGGCATATTAAAAAGTCGTTTTATGTGTGAACACGTGTAGAGTAGACATGTAGGCAACAGCAATTTTACAGAACAATGCACCATTGAAATACCCAGAACAAAAGCACGCGACTCACTTCTATCAGTAAATGAAGCCATCCGAGTTTTAACTACTCAAGTAATAAATGTCAATATTGTAGCGTAACCAGGTCGAAAAGCGATAAAGCATTCAATTTCGACGCACATTTCACGGGTCATTTACGATGGCGTCATGAATAGGTTTCACGGCAAGTTCCATTTATGTGGGGAAAATAGTCTAAACCGAGTGCTGAAAAGCTCGTGTATTACACTAGATTTGAAATATTCCTGTCTACGAAACAAACCCCATGTTACATTCTATCTGATAAACCTAGTCTGATCTCAGATTGACACCGTCACTGTTTTATTGCATCTGTTCAAACGTTATTTTATGTTCAGGTTATCGCATGTGACCTAAACGAAATAGGAAGTATGGGGTTCATTGCTATATTTAGATTTCATTTCTCGTCAATACCATACCATTTTTATCAATTGAAAAATTCAAGACACAAAAATAAGGCAAATATTCAGTTTGCCATCATAAGAACAACCATCTTGGAACAACCTATTGTTTTTGTTTGTTGGAGACCTTTTTAACAAAACTCGAACACAAGCATATGATCAGATGTTTAATTTATTGAGATCTCATCAGATTAAATTTCAGGAATCTCACGAACTCCGGCTGAAAAGATGACATCAAAGAGTCGTACATATCAGAGTCTCTCTTGCACACGTATTGACACGTGTTTTGAAAGAATGACTCTCGTATAAAATTAATGTGTTACATACAAGGCTTGTATTACACGCGTTTTTGATATTCATCTTTGTAACCAAACTTCTACTGATAAGAACAGACCAATACAAAGTTCATAAAATCAAGTTCAACGAGTACTGTTTTTCTTTCTTCATTATTTTTAGTAGATATTCATTACTTTTGTTTCGTACTTATCATCAACATAGTGAAACATAGTATAACAAGAGATAGGGTGGACCTAATTTCTAAGTGTCAATTATCGCAAATACATAGGGAAACGTTTTCATTCTGGTTAAATCAAGACGGACGCACACCAAATGATCTATAATCACATTTAATAAACAAGGGAAGTAACTACATGTACAACATAACATAGTGGCGTTGATGATGTCCGTCACGTCGTACCAGTTGTATTGACAGCCTTGGCGGGGGATGGGTAGGATCTGTTGAGTTTTGCATTAATTCTTCTCATAAATGTATTTTCACCTTAACTATATTCTCTAAACATCTCGATCGGCAATATCACGCCTTTTCTTTTTCGAAAAGACTACAGAAGGATCTTAATCTGCCCGCCGTTTATAGTCGTAGCCGCCGTACTATATTTAGTGGTTAGTGGCTCGAAGGCGGTGTGATTACATAATACCTTTTTTGTTGTAACATCTGAAATCCTTTCCTACCTAATGTACATTGCTTTCTGATAATTCTTTCATTGGGATTGCATGTATCTGTCCGTTATGTTGATTATATGTTGGACTTGTGAGGATTAAGATAATTTTACAGTAAGATAGTGTGTTTAGATAGATAACAGGATTACAGGTACGTTGTGTTGTGGAATTGTCAGAAGCATGTTGTTGATTTATCAAATTTATGCCAGACTATCACTAGACGATCAAGATGTTGACAAAATTCTTATCACTGTTGGTGTTCTCGAGTGAAAGCACCCTCCGGTTTTAAAAAGGAACAAATGGTCATTGACAAGCATCCATGTGTATCGTCTCCGACAAATAACACACAGGCACCATTCAATTCTCGTTACACAGACTTCTAACTTTGGACAGAAGAATAGTATTGGTAAATTATAGGCAATAAAACACACAAAAATATCGGTAGTAAAGGTATTTAGCGAGAACGAAAAGTTGTCTGGAACAGAATTAGAGAAAATAACCATTATAAGGTTTGAATGTGTCTATAAATGTTACTGAAAACGTATTACTTTAACGGCGATGAACAATCTCCTCATGTATTTCTTGTATTTTATTGGGGGTTCCCCTTTGATATATTTTTTCCGATGTTCGATAAAGTATACGTAGTGGTTCCGTTGTATTTGACTTCGATTGTCTGGGATTTACATGGCGGTGTCGTCGATGTAGAAGAAAAAAACGCTTACCGTTTTGTAACACTCGGCTTTAATCCCATTGTTATTTTCCGCGGAAATCTTTCTTTTGATCTTATTTTGCTCCAGTTTCACCGCATTTGAGCTTGCATTAAGATTCTGTCGATACGTCAGAACTATCGTAGTTGTTTCTGTAGACTGTCGTGGTATAATATAGGTATCCATCACCGGTAAAAACTTAAAACAAAAAAGGTTCCTTTTTAAACTTTCCAGGTAATATTATTCCTATGGTATGGTATGTATATTTATGTTAGTTACATCACACATAGAACATCACATCTGTTGTAATTACACCAAACAATGACCATCACAAATGTTGTAATTACATCACACATAGACCATCACATATGTTGTAATTACATCACACATAGACCATCACATATGTTGTAATTACATCACACATAGACCATCACATATGTTGTAATAACACCTCACATAGACCATCACATGTTGTAATTACACCTCACATAGACCATCACATATGTTGTAATTACACCTCACATAGACCATCACATATGTTGTAATTACATCACTCATACGCCATCACAAATGTTGTAATTACATCACACATAGACCATCACATCTGTTGTAATGACATCTCACATAGACCATCACATATGTTGTAATTACATCACACATACACCATCACATATGTTGTAATTACAGCTCACACAGACCATCACATTTGTTGTAATTACATCTCACATACACCATCACATATGTTGTAATTACACCACACATAGAACATCACAAATGTTGTAATTACATCACACATAGACCATCACATATGTTGTAATGACATCTCACATAGACCATCACATATGTTGTAATTACATCACACATAGACCATCACATATGTTGTAATTACATCACACATAGACCATCACATATGTTGTAATAACATCTCACATAGACCATCACATATGTTGTAATTACATCACACATACACCATCACATATGTTGTAATGACATCTCACATAGACCATCACATCTGTTGTAATGACATCTCACACAGACCATCACATATGTTGTAATTACACTACACATACACCATCACATATGTTGTATACCCTAACTCGTGCATTTTTCTAACTATTTTCCTTTTTATTTGCTATGTTCTCTAGAATTCAAATATTCGCATTTTTCTAACCATTTTCCTTTTTATTTGCTATGTTCTCTAGAATTCGAATATTCGACGTTTTTTTACATTTGAAGTTAGAGGTTATCTTTTTCTGTTGTCTACACTGGAATACGGTGAGGCACAACCAGTAAAACAGTAACCTCTATCAAGAACTGTATTACGGCATTATATAGACAATACTTGTTACAGTGTCCGACATCAATATCGTTTTATTCTTTATTACTTTTCCGGACTTTTTACAGATTTTGAAGTAAAGAAGAAGGACTACCAAACATGACCAGTAAAAGAGAAAACACCCCTCTTCTGTCAACACTCGACTTGGATTCAACCAAATTTTATACAACGAATGTGACATTAAAAACCGTGACATCAATTACAGGGAGATATTACCTAATGGTCCCTTGTATCCTGGTCCACTTTTTCTCTTACGTGTTTTATAATTTGGTTACTACACAGTATTTGTACGATTTCTTTGCGAGAAAACTGATAGCAAATGTAACAGCAACGGAAATTAATCTTGATGGATCCCCATGTACTATCGTAGTAGATTCCTTGTTGTACCACCAGCGAACGTTGATACAAAAAGACACGACGAAAGCGTCCCTCACTTTTGTTATAGTGGGTTGTGTCCCAGCTCTCTTCATGGACGTCATTATAGGTGTATTGAGTGACCGGTATGGCAGAAAATTATTCGTAATTATCTCCCTTGTGGGAACGTTAGTTAAGATAATAATGACCATGGTTGGAATGCATTACAAAGTGGATGTCCACTACTTTTTAGTATTTATTGCTGTCGAGGGATTCGCTGGTGGATGGTGTGCTGTCATTTCGCTTGGATTCGCCTACGTTTCGGATGTGACGTCAGTAGGCAAAACTAGAACGTCATCTATTGCCCTAATTGAAATATCAATTGGACTAGGTTTAGTAATGGCTGGTGTCCCTTCCGGTTATTTGATCGACGGAGTAGGTTTCGTCTATGCTATGATGGTATTAATGTTGCTAAATGTAATCAATATATTAATAATGTTGTTTTGTCTGCCGGACACGGTAAATGAAACGAATTGTGTAAAAGGCAGTTCCCTCAGGCTCTTCAAGAGTTCTTTTACTTTCTACACCCGTGACACATCCGCAACAGCGAAACGCTGGAAGTACATTACGTGTATTGCTATCTTCATTTTCTTTAACTTCAGCGCACTCAGTCGTCAAACAATAGAACAGTTATACCAACTCAATGCTCCATTCTGTTGGAATGCTGTTAAAATCGGCTGGTACTCAAGCCTAAGTGACTTGTTGCGCAATGTGGTTGGTTTAGCCGCCATCCGAGGTCTTCAGAATTACATCTCGGACGAGTTAATGGTGGTCGTGAGCGCGGTGTCAGGGTGTTTTGCATATCTGTTGGAAGCATTTGCTGTCAATGATGCCATGCTGTTTACTGGTAACTTCACACTTCTGGTTTAACGTATGTTTGTCGTCACCGATCAGTTTGGATATAAGCACTGATTTATTTTATTGTATTGAAAGAATAACCATGCTAAAATCAGATACGACGAATCATTCCAGTAATAACTCTTTTACGCTACATCACTTTTTTGATAATGACTGTTTCAGTGCCTTTGGTTGGTGTATTCTCCATGGTGACCGACCCAATCCTGAGATCCATTATGTCTAGGATGACACCCTCCGATAGACAAGGTCCGTTCATATGTACGTGCACTTACTGAAATTAAAACGGTATATATATGTTGTGTAAGAAAGTTATACAATTCTAAACAGCTAGCTGCATCATCGTAAATCGTACAACTGTTGGTATTACAGGAGCTCTGTTTGCTGGCTTGGCTATGGTACAGACTTCGTGTACTATCCTGGTGGATGTGATGACCAAGTCTGTGTACCTTGCTACTGTAGACATTGCCCGAGGTTCAGTCTTCTTTTTGTCCGCAGGATGTTGCGTCTTCGTTCTAATCCTCTTTGTGTAAGGATGTTACATTCTCAAGTCTAACTTTTCTTCACTTTAGCTGACTATAATTCTTTCTCGCCTTTTCGATTTTCCTCTTTTTCCTGTTGCTCTTTGATCCCTCCAATACAGGCCTTTAACATCACCCACCTATCACCTCGTACTGCTTTCGATGTTTTTGTGCGACAACACGAGGTACTATTTATTACTCCCGTCCTCTCTGCCAGGTCTTATGTCTCCAATCTTCCTTACCTCTACTTTTTCCCATGCCTATTTTCCCGAACATAACCTTTACCAAGGCCTATGTCTCATTACTTCCATACTCCCCGACGCCTACTTCGCCTTTTTCATCGCATATTTCTTCGTACCTTTAATGTCACCTACGCCTACTTAGTCTTACTCCAATCTTTTCCCCGATGTTTCAAACCTTCACCATCTCCCACGCCCATCTCGCCTTCTACACTATGCCCAGTTCTGCTATCTTATCATTTTGATCATCAGTACTATACGTTGAAATGGCCTCGAACCAGAATGAATTTCCCTCCATTTTCTACCAAACGAATATTAGATAATTATAAAATTTGCAACGGATTCAGTCGTTATACCATGGTATGGATCTAATAAAAATTTACCTACAGTGAACCTCATGATTCTTAAATTTCTGCTTTATTTCAGAAGATATCAGAAATTGAGTGAAAAATCAAATAACAGCAAACTAAGCCTCATTACATTATTTCTAAATACGCGATATATATGCCTGTAGATTAGTGTGGTAAGTACTATCGGACCTTCACTTTGTGGTCCACATTCGTGTATAACGACACGAATCCCGACAACCAAACTGAATAGACGACAGGAAACAAAGCTACACTATACATATCGTTTAAAATAAATGTCAAGTTGTAAAAGGCTACTCAGAAAAAACCTACTATATGGAAATTGATCCTATCAAATCCATCATTCTCTGTTTCAGGATATTCGCATTGGTGTCAAGGAAGTCGGGAAAGCAAATGACTTTGAATGAGTGATACGTCCTCTTCGCCGTTGTTGTGACAGGAGCGTATGATGATGGAGGGATGTTATGTTCTCTGTATCAAACTGTGACTTGCTATTTTTTTGATAGATCAATAATCAGAAACCGGTTCCTGAAAACGTGTTTACCAATATTTGCTGTAGGAGCATCACTTAGGTCATTATGTCAATCCGGTTATAAATATTATGTTAGGGTTAGTAGGTACTTTCTGTACTAACATCTGATTGGTTTATGTTGACTGGTGTGTCTAATTTTAATCATGGAGTCTATTTCCTTGTGAAAACGGGTTGCAAAACTCAGGAAACTGTTATATAATCCCTATTTATTATAATGATCGAATTATGATAAAAGTGTCTACTTCCTTTTTCATTGACGAGGCGCCACACATGATTGTACTGTTGTGTAGTTAAATCCTGTTCTGGCCAAGCATACATGTTAAGTACTTTGTTTTTGTGAAGGAAGGGATATGACTTTGGGTTTGTGGTTGAGGGGACGTGACATCGCGTTAGCAGTTGTGGGACATGGCATTGTGTTTGTAAAGGAGGAGATATTGGAGAAGGGTAGATGACTATGTTTTGTGACGGAGTGGAAATGATGTCATTTTGTCGACGAAATGATAATGATGTTTGTTATTGCTGGTATGTATTACCAAAGAAAAAAATTTAGCTGAATAACGAATTTAAAAAGTCTGTCATTTGATCGCTGAATGATACATGACGTAGGCAAACAAACGTAGCCTCGCTCTATTAAATAACCAGCGCAGATTCTACCTTTTAATGTAAAACATCTTATGTGAGAAAATGATGTAAATAAAACCTGATATTTCTTTACTATACAGAGCGAGGAATATGACACCCCAGCATGCGACGTTTCGTGACTAGAATATGGTCACTATGACTTCTGCACGAGATTAGAAATACCTGTCTATCCATGTACTTAGTGTTTCCAATGGAATAGAAAATCAACAAAGTTACAAGTTACAGAAAGTTTTTAACAGAACGGCTTGTTTAAATACAAAAAAATGAATGGAATGAAAGAGAGAATGTCTTTCTTTATTTCTTCACACTAAATTTCATTTACGTTCATCTTCCATATACATTTCAATGCTAGAATCACTTCGAGACTCAACAGAGGGGCATCACCTTGGGGTGATCTGTTCCGATGTGAATTCCAGACCTATTGATCATCACAGTTTGTTTCATTAAAAACTACACCATTTTATCTTAATTTGGTACAGACTGTTTTAGATCTAAGTTTTAATGTTTTGAAGCTGTTGTTTCACGTGACTCTCTAGGTATATAGAGAGTGTCGTGGACACAAAAGTCACGCTATATCGCATTATAATGGTGAATTCCAGTGATCTGGAAATCCGCCGTAATCACGATAGTGACCGACATACAAACATCACGGTCTGCTGCCGAGGACTCATGCCAAACTTCTGCCAAAACTTCTGTAATTCAAGATGTTGATATATTTTTTTTTAACGAGAAAGGAATCCAAACTACACATCCTTATCATATGAGTTATGTTTCTCAAATTGTCATCAAAGAATTAATTTCCAATCAACAATAAGTTCACTCGTTGATAAAAATGTTGCACAATTATACGTAATCATTATGATTTTTGTTTCTGGAGCTATGCTTGGAATGTAAATAACACGTGTTGTTACGTTTAATCACAAAGTAAACATCTAGCTGAAATGGCCGACATCGCTCCATGGATTGTGATATTATGATAATAATATTGGGATCACAATACAAAAAGGTGCTCGTGTTGACATATTACAATACCTAGACAATAGGTTAACAGCTTAGCTACTCACAAAGAACTTCAACAATGACCTTATGCTGACCTTGGGTACTTATGTTTGCAAACAGTTTCTGTGTTGGCAGTAGTGACTGGCCAAAATCTGTCCGAGGTGAGTGCCAACACTTTCTCTGTCCCTGGTTGCGACAGACCAATAGATCTCTTTTATTGGTAACAACACTTTCTCTGTCTCTGATGGCGACAGACCAACAGCTGTGTTTAGTTAGTACCAACATTTCTCTGTCCCTAGTTGCGACAGACCAACAGCTGTGTTTAGTTAGTACCAACACTTTCTCTGTCTCTGGTTGCGACAGACCAATAGATCTCTTTTATTGGTAACAACACTTTCTCTGTCTCTGATGGGGACAGACCAACAGCTGTGTTTAGTTAGTACCAACACTTTCTCTGTCCCTGATGGGGACAGACCAACAGCTGTGTTTAGTTAGTACCAACACTTTCTCTGTCCCTAGTTGCGATAGACCAACAGCTGTGTTTAGTTAGTACCAACATTTTCTCTGTCCCTAGTTGCGACAGACCAACAGCTGTGTTTAGTTAGTACCTACATTTTCTCTGTCCCTAGTTGCGACAGACCAACAGCTGTGTTTAGTTAGTACCTTTCGTGGTGGGGATTGACCAATATCTGTCATGATTTCGCATACAGTTCTACATTAAATATTTATCTCTGCAATGCATCCCAGTACTCGCAAAGCGCGTAATGTAATGCTTATAACTACAATGTAACACAGTACTCGTCAGATAATACATAAAATGTTTATAACTACAATGTAACACAGTACTTGACAGCACTAATTAAGATGCTGCTGTCATGTAACCCCGTGAAGTACTACACAAGAATTTTATTTATTAGCTTTAAACAAATCATCATTGCTACAATGCACCATTGCCAAGCTTGAAGTATAATGCCGTTCTGTTAAATGTGGTTAGTATTGTCTAATACAGATTTTCGTATAAACCCCTAATTTAGGCCTCATTCAGATTTTAAGAAAAAGAAATACTTAGAATTCACTTGTGACGCGACAACGTGACGGAAAATTTTTCCAAGTACGTGACTTCCCTTCAAATATGCGTGACATCACACCTGATAGATCTCGTGTTCTACCAACAAATGTCGGCTGTTCCGAGAGAGGACTGGCCTCAATACGTAATTTATAGTTATGCAAAAAAATATATCCAGGTTTCTATATAAATGAGGTCTGAAATAGGATTAGTGGTGTTCAATTTCAAATGCACACTTGTTTACATTCCTCTAGTGTATATCGGTTAAGTATGCCGTGTACACAAAGGACAATTACAGGAAGTCATATGAATCGGGAAAGTCTTATTACACAGAATCATTACAAGTATTGTTGCATGGCGGGAGCGGCGTTAGGATGTTATTATTCTAAATTTTCGTTTAAGTATAATAAAGAAAATAAGCGCAGACAGCTTCCGTATCATGGTATGTCAATGTGCAAAGAAGCATTGTGTGAATTTGTTGGTCCTGCAAGACGTTGAAGATAAACTCTGGAAGGAATGAGATTCTTTCTCACTTGGATATGCCAATACTCCAAAACGAAGATATAACCTTGATCAAGACAGAAAGGCATTTTTATTCAGAAGTTGATATTAACCTGTTATACTGCCAGATTCTGGTTGGTTTTTCGTTATGTATTGTATATCATAAAGGTACTCTCGTATTCCTTAGAGGTTGCTGTTTCCTACCCCAACAGCCTATTTGTTCCGTTTTTGTTGTCGCTGATGATCGAAATATCTATATTCAGGTGAAATGTAATACTATAGAAGTCTAAAGAAGGCTGGTAACGCTGACCTGGGTATACAATCCACTCTCACAGATTGGATCCATGTTGATTGAATATGACGCAGAAGATACAGCTAACCTTGTACAAATTGTGTCTGAACACTATTGGCATGATGTGCGGGTGTCTTTTTGACGAGGTAGCGCGAGGCAGATTTGTCAGAATACTAAGACAATATGTAAAAGAAGAAATATTTGCAAGAAACCTTCATATTGCTATCAGAGTGCTCCACTTGACATTCTTCAGATCGCATTCTCTTACCAATACTCTTGGTGTATCTGATATTTATAAGGGTTGTTGTCTCATCAGGTAGACACAGAAATAATACTGACAGTTTATAGGGTATATTTCCCATACTAATTAAAGAGGAATTAGCAAAGTATGGTACGTCCTTGGATGGATGCAATGTCTTTGAAGATAAAATTCATCATAAAGTGTATCAATGTTTTAGAAAGAAAAGAAAACTTAAGCTTTAGTATTTTAGTACAAAGAGAAATCAAAGCTTTCTATGAGAGAAGAAAAATATCACAATTACGACATAGCTGATGATATTTTAGTTTTCTGTCCCTTGTCGAGGCACGCGACTTTTGTGGCAGAGTATTAAATGTTCCGAGATATATGTCCAAGATGTGAGACGGAAGATATGATCAAAGTGTATCTAGGTATTGACCTTGTATTTTACTGTTGTGCTTGACCTAGAGATATTGACCCTGTGGTTTACTGGTGGGCTTGACCTATAGGTATTGACCTCGTAGTTTACTGTTGTGATTGACCTAGAGGTATTGACTTTGTAGTTTACTGTTGTGATTGACCTAGAGGTATTGACTTTGTAGTTTACTGTTGTGCTTGACCTAGATGTATTGATCTTGTAGTTTACTGTTGTGCTTGACCTAGAGGAATTGACCTTGTATTTTACTGTTGTGCTTGACCTAGAGGAATTGACCTTGTATTTTACTGTTGTGCTTGACCTAGAGGAATTGACCTTGTATTTTACTGTTGTTCTTGACCTAGAGGAATTGACCTTGTATTTTACTGTTGTGCTTGACCTAGAGGTACTTACGTTGTATTTTACTGTTGTGCTTGACCTAGAGGTACTTACGTTGTATTTTACTGTTGTGCTTGACCTAGAGGTACTTACGTTGTATTTTACTGTTGTGCTTGACCTAGAGGTATTGATCTTGTAGTTTACTGTTGTGCTTGACCTTGAGGAATTGACCTTGTATTTTACTGTTGTACTTTTTCTAGAGGTACTTACGTTGTATTTTACTGCTCTTTTTCGACTAAAGATATAAAATTGTAGATAACGGGTCTGCTTGATTAAGAGATATATTGTTAAACTTAAACCACCGTGTATTGTCTGCTTGTGTGTACCTTCCATAAATATATACGCCAAAAAAGTGATAATTCTAAAC